CATCTTCTGCACCAAATACATAGAGATACACCCATATTATTGATGAACGGAAGTTAGACAGAGAGATGTTTGAAGAAATAAATTAGATAGAGATCCTCCAATTTGGGAAAGGAAGCAACAAAATACTTTTTATACAGGCAGTTGAAAATAGAGGATATCTTGAAAATGCCACCAATAATTTTGGCAAAAAAGATGGCATTATAGAGAACTAAGATCATCTATTCATGTCAGGCATGAAATGAAAACTAAAAAAGAAAAAGAATAACCCTTCATGATGTATAAACCCAAGAGAACCCAGCACATTAATAGATTCATCTGAGCAGTTTTCAAGGTGCAACTCTTTACCCAGCCAAAAGCAAAGGGAAGATTATTCCCAGTTCCTAAAGGCATTGTAGCAATTGGTGGTGGGTAGGATAATTTGAGATCACAAACAACTCCAAGAAGCCACCCAGCAGTTCCATCGCCTCCTGCAACCTAATGAGGAAAGTAATAGCAAATAATAAGAAATAAAATTTATGAATGGTTATACAACATGTATTGCATGACATAAAAAAAGGTGTTCCAAACTAAACTTACAATTATTCGCAATCTCTCCTGAATCTCTTTAGCAAATTCATCTCCATCATTCTTAAGCTTCTCCAGGTTGACATAGATTCTACTCAGCACCTTATCAGGTGCCTCCTCCCCCAAATCAAAAACCTGGGAATCAATCACACCCAATCATCCCAATCCCTCAAGTAATATCTTGCTACAACTATCGAAACTCTTTCTAATCGAGCATCAAATAAACAACAAAATGATATTGAAATACACTTAATAAGAGACTAAAATCACCTGCTTTTCATTGAGAATGCTACGGAACGTCACAAGGAGGTCTGCACCCAACTGACCACCGCTCTTTGAGTTGATAAAGACTAACACTGGACATGTAGGCATATCCGAGATGCTTTCATTCTCCACATCGCCATCAATTATGTAAGAAGGAATGTAGAAGTTCTTCAAGAAATCAGACTGGGATTCAGATTCGGCCATTCTGGAATCCAATTGCATCAAAACATGAGCGTGAGCACAAAATTCAGACAGCAATAAACGAGGAACAGCATAATGTCCAAATGGCCATAATAAATCAGAGTTTCATCAATTCACATGCCACGAAACAACTAATTCTTCAACCAGTTAATAAACAGAGCTTACTTTCAAATCAACACCCTAATTTGACCATAAACCAAACTACTGGACTCTAAATTCTAGGGTTGGTTCTTGCAAAAGCTCCTCGTTGAAAATGGAATTAGAAAAACCACAAGAAAAGTCAATCACAAAAGAAAAACGAATTCACTGCAACGCTGAAACACAACAGTACATTGAATCGACGAAGCAGACTACTTAAATGTGAAGGAAAATTCAAACGAACCGAGCTGAGACTCAGATTGAATATTACTGCAATGTTTTCTCACCTGAAAATGAATCGATAGATCCTCCCGCGTGA